AAATCGAGACTCATCAGGCCAGGCATTGTTTTTTCAATCTTCTATTGTCTAATTTTGGTGATCCCTGTGTGAATTGTAGCCTCCAAGTCCTGTTCTTAGCTGAAAGGAGTGGCACCCGGTGTGGACCTCTGCTGGTGTAGCCCATCTGCTTCAGGGTTGGATGTGTTGTGCATTCAGAGGTGGTATTCTGCATACCTTGGGTTGTAACAAGTGGTTCTTAGAGTTACTGTTGCCTTTCTATCATCTCCAACCAGTCTGCCCATTCTCCTCTGACCTCTGACCTCAACAAGGCATTTTCCTCCACACAACTGCCACTCACTGGATATTTTCTCTTTTTCGGACCATTCTCTGAAAATGTCCAGAGATGGTTGTGCATTATCGCTGATCACTGTATATGTGTCATGATGAGGTAAGTGTCCAGTTAGTTCCCACCCAGTGTCAGTTAGTGTCAGATTGTCCACAGCACTATCACAGTCCCACTATAAGTCACTGATCACCGCCATTAGTAGCAATAAAAAAGTAATAGTATTTTTCATGGACATTCAACACAGAGATGTACTGAGGGAAGGATCTCTTTGTTTCTCATCCCTACAAAGCAAGGGATGAGAAACTGTGAAATCTATCAGTAAAAATCAGCACACATTGCACATGGTTAGGCACACACTTAACCCCTTGATTACCCCGAGATGATAACCCTTCCCTGCCAGTGTCATCAGTACAGTGACAGTCTATATTATTATCAATGATCACTGTATTAGTGTTACTGGTGACGTCAGTGTCAGTTAGTCAATTCCCACTCAGTGTAGTGTCAGATTTCTCACCACACACTATCACAGTCCCACTATAAGTCGCTAATCACAACCATTACTGGTGTGTGTATATATATATATATATATATATACATATATATAAAAAAATCCTTTATACAGTGCTTATAGTAAATGAGTCCACCCCAACATATTTTTCAGAAACCCTTCCCTTTCCTTTCAGAATCCACATTTTCTATGGGACACTATACTACAAAATACTCCCACAAACACACACCTAAGGCCACTGTTGGTATTTCTGAAGAAGAACAGAGTGAAAGTGATTCAGTGGCCAAGTATGTCTCCTGATCTGAACCCAATCCATCACCTATGGGGAATTCTGAAGAGACAAGTTGAGCATCACTCTCCATCCAGCATCCAGGCTCTAAAAGAGGTCAATCTTGAGAATGGAAAAAGATCGATGTTGCAATATGTTGGTTAACTTGTTCATTACATGCCTAGAAGACTTGGTGCTGTCCTTACAAATCGTGGAGGTCATACAAAATACTAGATGGAGGAATTTTGGTTGTGGGGTATATATATATATATATATATATAGTATGGACCATTCTTAAAATGAAATATTAATAATAAAATTAATAATAAAATTGATTGCAAACAAGATTTTTTATTTTGCACACACAAAAAAGTATTTTTCCTAACAAATTCATTCAAGACTGTGTTGCAAAAATGAATACACCCCAATGAAAGTCTTAAGAGCAAAACTAAGTTTTCCACAACAAAATCCTAATCAACAAGAATTCAACTACAGGTGAGTCTAATTATGCATTAAACAGGTGTTCAGCAGACAGGTGATTATAAAAAGGGTGTTACTTAACAAAGAAAACCCCGCCCATTTCATGCTGTCAGCAATGGCACCACATGGAAGAGAAATGTTACAAGGCCTGAGAAAGAAAATTATTTTTTTTACACAAGAAAGGTGAAAGCTACAAGAAGATCAGCAAAGTTTTACTTATCAATCAGAATACTGGAGCAAAAGTGATAAAAAAAAACTAACAAAGATGGAATTGCAACCATCTCACAGAGATGTCCAGGCCATCCACAGCAGTTAACACCTCAACAGGAGTGTCTTCTGATGAAAAGGTTTGAAGAAAATCATAATGCAAGTTCACTGCAGTTAGCAAAGGAAATAGAAAGCCAAACTGGGGTGATTGTTTTCCCTGACACAATATGGTGTACATTGCAGAGGAATGCATGGGTGTCACACACGAAGGAAGCCTCTCCTAAAGCTCATGCACAAATAATACCACCTAGAATTTGCCAGGGCCCATGCTGAAAAAGAAGATGACTACTAGGACTCTGTACTCTGGAGTGATGAGACAAAGATAAATGTTTTTGGAAGGGATGGCTTCAAAACTGTATTGCGTCACAAAGGCGAGGAGTACAAAAAAAATTCATGGTGCCTACTGTGAAACATGGTGGTGACAGTGTCCTTCTGTGGGGCTGCATGAGTGCTGCTGGTGTCGAGGAGCTGCATTTCATTGATGGTATCATGAATTCACAGATGTACTATTGTATAGTGAAAGAGAAGATGCTCCCATCACTCCATGCCCTTGGTCATCGGTAACTTTTCCAACATGACAATGATCCAAAACACACACCTAAGGCCACTGTTGTATTTCTGAAGAAGAACAGGGGAAAAGTGATTCAGTGGCCAAGTATGTCTTCTGATCTGAACCCTATCCATCACCTATGGGGAATTCTGAAGAGACAAGTTGAGCATCACTCTCCATCCAGCATCCAGGCTCTAAAAGAGGTCGATCTTGAAGAATGGAAAAAGATCGATGTTGCAATATGTTGGTTAACTTGTTCATTACATGCCTAGAAGACTTGGTGCCGTCCTTACAGATCATGGAGGTCATACAAAATACTAGATGGAGGAGTTTTGGTTGTGGGGTATATATATATATATATATATATATATATAGTATGGACCATTCTTAAAATGAAATATTAATAATAAAATTAATAATAAAATTCTTGCAAATGTGTAAAATGAAAAAAAAAAAATGTTAGGAAAAGTGGTGATATTGGAATATACATCTGAAGTATTTTAAATAATTATTCTTGTGAACATGTCTTCAGTTATTCAGCCCCATTCTCTAGAAGATTATATGCTTTTTATAATATGTTTGTTTATTGTCAGCTGCAGATGGACTCTGCTCCCTCCCCCACCCCCACCACCGAAGGACTGGAACGCCCATATTCTCTTTGATAGCTAACTGTTCTGCTATGATGACTTTCCTGTAATTCCTGTTTATATTGTTTATTACTTTCATTTTCATTTTTACTCCTTTCCTGTTCTCGGAATTGAAGACAAAACCAAGAGGGAGCAGGCACAGTGAGGACTGACACACTCTGGGTCCTTCTAGTGGATTCATCCTGATCGGACTGGTGGACGGGTATGACTGTATATGGTATAACGTTCTAAAACCCTAGTTGAGAGAACCGCTACTTTTGTGCACAATGGTCAGTCGAGATTTGGCTGAGGTAAGTGTAAGGTTGGGCTGGGGGCAGATAATGCATGTAGAAAAAATCTTCAGCCTTTAGAACCCCTTTAACTCTGCAAATATTGCTCCACTGCACCTCAGTTGTGTATTGCAGGAGGATGTGCGTTGGGTACTGGGTGGTCCATAGACTTACATGGGTTGTGTTTGCTGGTGGCAATTTCTGCAGAATATGTGATGATGTTTACGTTTTGTTTGTTTGGCTGTGATCCTGTGCTTCTTCTTTGGCTGTGCCACGTGTACAGTCCTTAGCAGTTACATGTCAGCGTTAAGGCATGCAGTCAGAGCCATAGTTTTACTGCCCCCCCTGGCCGCTCATGTGAACAAGCCATAAGAATGATGTTCAGTAATACATGTATAGAAAGTATAGCAAAAAAGTGAGGTAATCATTCATAAGACTGCTGGATACCCATCTTGGGGTCAAGCAACCAAATTTAACACATATGGAGAGCATCTGTTCCCACACAGAATAATGGAAGGTCACGTTTGATGCTACTCAGGGTTTTCCAGAGATCCCTGCACTGGGCAAGGCTGTGATCAGGTTCTGGTGAACGATGGTAGAAGGAATGAGGCCCAAATATGGAACCAATATGTGGTCAGTGGAGATGCCATTAAATAAAAAGGTGCTTCCAAGTAGATTCTTCAGTAAGGTTAAAATTTACTATTCAAAGAACAGGTAAAACAAACCATCAACATATTTTGTGGCTCTTTTTGGCCACTTTGTTAGAAAAAAGTGTACACTTTGATGGTTTGGATCTGTGCAGTATACTCTGGGCTGAAGAAATGCTCACATATCCCGTACACCTTTACTGATGAAGTGGCCACTGAAGATGTTGCATTTTAATCTGTTCTCTGATTTGACATGGTGGAGGGACAACGACATCAAAATCCCCACCTTGTCCAATCAGAGGACATTTTACATTCACTGTGAAAATGCTAAATATTCTCTAATTGGTGTCCATGCTGATCAGCCAACCTCCTATGTTCACAATGCAAAAGGGCAGCTACTCAGCCCTACTTCCATCCCTCCCTTCCTTCCACCCACCCCTCCCTTCCTTCCATCTACCCCTCCCTTCCTTCCTTCCTTCCTTCCTTCCCTCCCTTCCTTCATTCACCCCTCCATCCCTTTCCACATTTCCTTCCAGCCCTCCCATCTTCCTTCCACCCCTCCCTACCTTCTTTTCACCCCTCCTTCCACCCCTCCCTCGCTTGTTTCCACCCCTTCCTTCCTTCCTTCCTTCCTTCCTTCCTTCCTTCCTTCCTTCCTTCCTTCCTTCCCTTTGCACCCCTCCCACCCTTTTTTCCCTTCCTTCTCCTTCCTTCCACCCCTCCCTTAATCCCTTCCTTCCACCTCTCCCTTCCTTCCTTCCTTCTTTCCACACCTCCCTTTCTTCCACCCCAACCTCCTATGTCCACAATGCAACAGGGCAGCTACTCAGCCCACGACCCGGAAGCTAGTGGAGATCACTGGAGTACAATGTAGTAGTTGTGTCTACTGAGAGATTTCCATCTTCTAGAGCAGCGGTTCTCAACCTGGGGGTCGCGACCCCTTTGGGGGTCGAACGACCATTTCCCAGGGGTCGCCTAAGACCATCGGAAAACACATATTTCCGATGGTCTTAGGAACCGAGACACCGCTCCTCCGTCTCAGGCGATGTGTGGGAGGGATGATACGCTGCTCCTGTCACCTGGCCACACCTCCAGGATCGCTCAGCAGCTCCGCCTCCTCGCCGCTGATTGGCCACCGGAACTGTAGCTCAGGAGAGGCACACAGGCGGCCAATCACCGGCGAGGAGGTGGAGCTTGGAGAGGAGGAGCCGAGCGGCAGCGCGGGGTCCATCAAAGAAGATCGAGGGAGCTGCCGGAGCGAGTGAAGAGGAGAGCGGCCAGAGAAGGAAGACAGCTGACAGGTAAGTGAGAGAGCGAGCCCAGGCTGGAGCAGGGGTCAGCAAAGTAAGTATCATTGGTGTCAGTGGGAGGAATAGTGCCCCATCATTTGTGTCACTAATACCAACGATGGGGCACTATTCCTCCCCCCACTGACACCAATGATGGGGCACTATTCCTCCCCCCACTGACACCAACGATGGGGCACTATTTCCTCCCCCCACTGACACCAACGATGGGGCACTATTCCTCCCCCAACTGACACCAACGATGGGGCACTATTCCTCCCCCCACTGACACCAACGATGTGGCACTATTCCTCCCCCCACTGACACCAACGATGGGGCACTATTCCTCCCCCCACTGACACCAACGATGGGGCACTATTCCTCCCCCCACTGACACCAACGATGGGGCACTATTCCTCCCCCACTGACACCAACGATGGGGCACTATTCCTCCCCCCCACTGACACCAACGATGGGGCACTATTCCTCCCCCCACTGATACCAACGATGGGGCACTATTCCTCCCCCCACTGATACCAACGATGGGGCACTATTCCTCCCACTGACACCAACGATGGGGCACTATTCCTCCCACTGACACCAACGATGGGGCACTATTCCTCCCACTGACACCAATGATGGGGCACTATTCCTCCCACTGACACCAGTGATGGGGCACTATTCCTCCCGCTGACACCAGTGATGGGGCACTATTCATCCCACTGACATCAGTGATGGGGCACTATTCCTCCCACTGATACCAACGATGGGGCACTATGCATCCCACTGACATCAGTGATGGGGCACTATTCCTCCCACTGATACCAACGATGGGGCACTATTCCTCCCACTGATACCAATGATGGGGCACTATTCATCCCACTGACATCAGTGATGGGGCACTATTCCTCCCACTGATACCAACGATGGGGCACTATTCATCCCACTGACATCAGTGATGGGGCACTACTCCTTCCACTGACACCAATGACATGGTACTACTCCTCCCACTGCAAAATTACAGTTATGAAGTAGCAACGAAAATAATTTTATGGTTGGGGGGTCACCACAACATGAGGAACTGTATTAAGGGGTCGCGGCATTAGAAAGGTTGAGAACCACTGTTCTAGAGGGATTACACAGTTATGGCACATACAGTGGCGGACTGACCATTTGGAAACTTGGGCACTGCCCGAGGGCCCGGGGTCAGTAGGGGGCCCCATGAGATGCCCCTGGTACCTTTTTCATAGGCTTTTTTGAGTTTGGGCAAGGACATGGGCCCCATGATCCCCTATTGCCCGGGGGCCCCATGAGTTGTCAGTCCGCCCCTGGGCACATATATAGTTACAATAGTCCAAGCTGAGCAATGTACTGTACTGTACCTACTGTATGTAAAAATATACATATTTGGAATTATTTCATTGTCAATGGTCAACCCGTTCAATATTGGAAGGCACAATGGTCTTGGTGAGGCCCTAAATGGGGTCCCTATGGTGATAATCCCAGAAATAAGAAGTTGCACAAAGAGCATAATACCAAAATGAGTCTAAAAAAACCTTTAATTATTCATCAGATGATTGAATGCAACAGACGATACATTCTGGGGGCTTGACCAATCCTCCTTCATTAGTATTTGAAAGTTAAATGTATATTCTAAAGGACTAAGCAAGTTAATTGAATTGATAAAAAAACTGATGTCATTAAGTGTCCAAGTTAAATTCAGCAACATATACACTCTTCTGCACTTATTAACTTGTATTAATTATTCTGAAGAATAAGTAAAGCTTTCTCAGACTTAGGTTTGGCTCTCTTTATGCAACTTTCACTTCCTAGATTTTTATTTCTGTCTGGTGCTGTGGGAGAGCTCTCCTCACCCCCTGTCTGGAGAGAAATTGTTGTCATCAGGACAGGACATATTGGGGTTTATTTACTAAAGCTGGAGAGTGCAAAATCAGACTCACTTCTGCATTGAAACCAATCAGCTTCCAGGTTTCATTGCCAAAACTTCATTGAACAAGCTGAGGTTAGAAGCTGATTGGTTTCTATGCAGAAGGGAGTCTGATTTTGGACTCTCCAGCTTTAGTAAATAAACCCCATTGGGTCATTTCTCTAACAGTGTTCTGGTGAGCAGCAAAAGCCTAATGGGAGTTCTAAACCCTCTCCACTCCATCAAAAATTAAAAAAAAAACCCTTTCAGCTGGGTACAGGTCTGTTTTTTATTGCTGACTGCATCCCCATAATGTTCCCTATTTCCTGTCCTTAGTTTCTGTGCCCGAGACATGAAGGGATGACCATTGACCAACCATGGACCACTTAAAGAGCTTATTCAGCCCCCCCCAAAAAAAATTAAAGTCAGCAGCTACAAATACTGTAGCTTCTGACTTTTATAAAATGACACCTACCTGTCCAGAGATTCAGCACAGTCTCTACATGAAGTGGTTTTTCTTCAGTCTTTGGTACTGCCATGCTGTGACAATCCAGCTATGACTCCATGCGGCTGCAAAGCTAGCTCCCCAGTGTGCATGCATGAGCCACGTTGGTCCTTATGAATGGTTCCCCAGCTTTCCAGGACCTGTGATGTGTCCCAAGAGGCTGCTGGCGGGGAGGGGGGGGGGCGAACTTCTGTTTGGTCCGTCTAGGCGGTCAGAGCAGAAGTGGAAGTGGGCACTTGTCAAAACCAGGTACCCCCACTACCCCCCCACAAAAAGGGCCCAAAAGTTTAAGAGGAGGATGGGTGTAGACAGCAAAGCGGAACTTTCGCTTAGGGGTGAAGTTCCACTTTAAATACCTGCCTTATGCACTATTAATAACATTGGAAACAAGTCCCATTTTTATCTGCCAGGCTGGTTATAAAAAGAGTGTAATGGACCAGTGCCAGGTGAGAGTGAAAGAGAGTGCCAGATGAAAAATCACTTTAATCTTATTGTCCAACTGCTTACAACAAGCAAGTCAAAAGACTTGCAACACGTTTCATGGTCCACACAATTCCCCTTCATCAGGGCTGGTTCAGATGGCAGATTGTCAAATATACTCAAAAGTATTCCTGAACATACTGACCTGCAAGCAGTGGATGTTATAGACAACAGTCAGTGCTGGTATTCACAGTACAGTTAGCCAGGGGCCCTGTTTGGACTCTGCTGGGAAATATTTTGAGTTCATTTAACATTCTGCCATCTCTCCCAGCCTGTTTAATGAGGGATTGCGTGTCTCCCAAAATGTGTTGGCTGTCTTTTGACCTGCTTGTTGTAACCAATTGGACATTAAAGACTTTGGACTCCAAATGATTTTTCATGTGGCACTCTCTGTGGTCAACTACACTCTACATACCAGGCCTGGCAGATAAAATTGGGATTTGTTGCCAATGTTATTAATAGTCAGTAAGGCCAGTATTGAGAGTGGAACTTCATCCCTAAGGGCAATGTTCTGCTTTTCTCCCTTTAACTTTTGAGCACTTTTATGTCTTTGGACTCCCAATTATTTTTTTATTTGGAGCTCTCTCTGACCCATTACACTTGGGTTTCTCAACTTGGGTGAGTGTCCTCTTTGGGGGTATCCCCTGTCTTTGTGATGTGCTGCTGAATACAGGCCCGTTAAACTCAGGTAATGACTTTGTCTACATTATGATAACCTGTGAAAATCTGTGCCTAGCAATCCTTACCAAATCATTTGGAGATATATAAGAGCAGGTTTCTCCAAACTTTTCAAACACAGGGCCAATTTGCTGTTTTTAGACTTTAGGGGGGAAGGGGGGGACTAAACTGTGGCCAATGGGAGTAGAAAATGTCCCCAACATCAGTGAGAGTAAACAATGCCCCATGATTGTTTTTAGTTGGAGGAATCGTGTTGACATCAGTCTGGGGGAACTTTGCCCCATCACTGGTGTAAATGGGAGAATTGGTGCCACACCATTCCACCATTCCTGTGAGTAGAAGGTATAGTGCCCCAAGGGCCAAGCTAAATGAAGACAAAGGGCCACATCTGGCCCCCGGGCACAGTTTGGAGACCACTGATACAGAGAGTTCAACTTTTATTATTTGTACTGCTATTATATTAGTAAATGTTTGTTCCTTTTGTTTTGCAACAGGAGACCTATTCCATCGAGTATGCTGTCTTACTGGTTAGACAATCTTACTTTATAAAGGAGATACTCGTAGAACTAAGAGAACACAATGGAAATATTACCTGTATAGGCGGTGTGCACTATCACAAGGATCCTCTGATCATTCTTTCTATCTTTTCAGGTGTTTGCAGCTCTTTCCTATTTGCTTTGGATTTCATAATCAAATTCTGCTGTTTTCGAGTAAGTGACATCAATCTGAAATGTAAAGTCTAATAATGGGAAAATATATAAAAAAAAATCACATTGATTTTTCAGATGTAGTTGTATAAAACCAATTTACCCCAAATATATACAAACTGGATGCTAAATTTCTGCTGGTGGAGTTAATCCTTCCATGCTACTCAAATTTAGAGCTAAAACTTTGGTTAAGGGAGACTTATAACCCCTGTCAAGTCTTTTTTTTTTCCTTTTTGCCAGCCGTGTCCCTTTGTGGATATTTCTCTTAGAAAGCCCCATAGCTAAAACAAGAAGCAAAAGGATATTTCCCCAAAGTGAAAAAATCCCTGGTTGTCACCAAAACTAGTGTCCCCATCAGCAGATTTCCTCTCTATGCCTATTCTAACAACCTAAAATTTGGTAATAATGGTTACCAGGACAGATAGAGAGGGCAAAACTCCCTAACAGGGGTACAGAGAACAATAAAAACACCACAGAGGTTCTAAAACCCCCTCTACTCAATTAAAAAAAAAAAAAACTAAATACACTTTAATCTTCCAGTCATAGTTGTGCATAGAAGGAAAGATTGACATGAACAGTTTGTCAGGAGCTGCACACAAAATGAGTAGAGCTTACAAGATCAACCATAGGACGTCATGGAGGGGTCCATGTGGGTAGCCATGTTCAGAAGTCATGTGCCATTATTCTCAGTGAGGTCTGGCAGTTTGTGTCATTGGGGCTGACACCAAAGCTATGGCATAGACCGCTGGCCTCAATGTGGAGGGACGAGTTAGTATCTGCGGGTTTACTCTAATTGTATCACCTATGAAGTTTTAGACACCATACATTCATAAGCAGGAAAACAGAATCTGTCTTCTACTGGTCCCTGGCCACTCTTTCTGAGCAGTAAAGAAGGTTCATTTTAAGTTAACTGTCCCAGTATATGAGAACAATATAAAATCCCTGTAC